CTCTCGCCCCCCCTCTGGTCTCGCTCAGTCAACATACGCAACAGCCACTCAGACACCTGATAAAGCTGCTGCCTCTGCCACCATCCCAAGAAATAGTAACAAGCCAAGGATCTTGCCCCCTGCTCCAAAGCAACTGCCCGACTCCCGCCTCTTTGTACGCCTTCCGCCGAACTATAATGCCAAAAACATGGACGCCTTTGCTATCTACACTAACCTCCGTTCTCATCTGGGTGCGGATAGCAAAGTACTTAAGGGCGTCCAATCTATCAAGACTGGATTTGCCCTTCTACCTACATCACCAGACACCCTCACAGCCCTGGAGGCTCAGAAAGAGACTATCTCTGCCTTCTTTCACAACTGCCAAATTGAGCGTAGCTCTCGCTGGATCTCTTATCGAGTTACCAACATACCAAGAAAGGTCGGCCAGCTTACAGCGCGTCAATACTCTATGGTCCCTGTAAACCCTGAGTTATTATCTGCCGAGGTTGCTGAAGCCACCGGCCTGACCCCCATTGCTATAACTGAGACCCCTGTCAGCGCTGCCAATCCAAATACTATCTCTTCAAGCTGGTTTATTAACTTCCCTGAAGCAAGCAAGGCCATGCTCCCCACACGGCTATCTTTATTCGGTATGATTACCAACGCCCAACCCTTATCTAGAAGAGTAAAGATTATACAATGCAACCGCTGCTGGAAGTGGCATAACGCTAGATCCTGCGCTCGCGATCCCCGCTGCCGCCTCTGCGGCTCCACGCAACATACTGAGGAGGACCATACTAACCACTGCGCTGCACTATCTCCTCATACCTGTCCCCCGAGATGTCTACACTGCCACGACCCTCATCCAGCAGACTATGAACAATGCCTCCTCCGCCCCAGCAAGTCAGGGTCCCGATGCACCAAGGCCCAGCAAGCTGAAATCCGCAAGACCTGCTCCCTAAACCTAGCTAAAGCACGCTCAGAGAGCAAGTGCTGCACTCAAGTCCCCGCGGATACCGCTGACACTGCAGCCGCTCCAGCCCCCGGGACCTCCCAGGATCAGATTACGTCTATTAATAGCCAACCTGCGCCCTCCCCTTTCCGGCCTTCAACTCCCCCTCTGCGAAAACCATTAGACACTCCTTCAGTCACATCCAGGGCAGTACGCTTTGCCACCCCACAACTGCAAAACCAGTTTGATATCCGAATGGATGAGAAACTATGAGATTTCAAATCCACCAAACAAAGGAGTCACTTTCAATACTCCAGCTGAATGTAGGACGAGGGGCTGAAGCTCATGAAATAGCCCTCTCCCAAGCATACTTTAATGATATTGATATTATCATGATATAAGAACCATATATATTCAATAATCTTACCAGCAAAGTCACAAAAAGACATCGCTCATACGAATGCTCCAGTCCCACAGATAGCTGGGTAAGAAGTGGACGACCACGAGTCCTCACTTATATCCGGAAAAAGAAAGGAATCCAGGCCTTCCAGCTCCGACCTGAGCTGGCAGACCAAGAGACCCTATCAGATCTCCTTCTACTCCAGATCTCTGCACGCTCAGGGCAATCTGCCCTACTACTCAATCTGTATAACGCCCCGGTTGGGTCAAACTCAACCCGACCCAATCAGGCCGTACAGCCACTCATAAACCTGCCCGAATCCTATTTTTCTCAGCCCACGATACTGGCTGGTGATTTTAATCTCCTACATAGCAGATGGCAACCCTCACTCCAACGGGGCGACTCTACACTAGCAGAGACGCTTATAGAGTGGCTGGACAGGCTTGAATTAGTATTCACCTCTGAGATAGATACTTCTACTCATGATGGAGGCGTTATCTGCGTTGCTGGGCGGGTCCCCCATCCTCCAAGCCCCACTATACCTGGTCTAGCCTCAGCAATTTACGTGAACTCCAATATGGTGGTCATCGTGTGGGTGGAAAGTCCTGAAGGCAGCCTTTGGTATTCGAGGCGCGTTACTATATTGTATGATTAAGCGCGACTGCTAGGTATGCAGCGACAACGACATCATTGACCCTTGCCAAGGGAGCTCAAGGCGGCACCGTTCTTTTCAGTGAGTACCTGCGGCCGGCTCTCGATAGCCTTAGACCATCAGAACCGATACCACGAGTATATATGTATTTCAACTTCTTTCTCGGTCGGCTGCCGGCAAGGGCTAATGCACAGCGCAGACCAACGCCGAGAGGGTCCCAGGTGGCGGACATGTTCGAACTCACGCGGCTCTTCATAGCCACCACTCTAGAAATCAGTTTCGATGCTAGGAAAGATAGATCTAGTATTCAAAAATAAATTATAAAATAACATACAACAGCCTAAGTATGGTGGTGCTCACCAGGCGCGGCGTGGGTGGCTTGCTGCGCTATTTATCTCGCCCTCAGGGCACTTCAGACCCTTATGTGTTCAAATATTATACACCCACACTAGGAAGAAGTTAAATTCACGCAAATGAGACGGGTAGGCGCTACCCCCAAACTGAACAGGATAAGACTTCCCAGCTCACTTTTGCTCCTTTCCCTCTATTATACCTATACATATCATTTACTTGATTCATGGGATCATCAAGTGGAACAATACGTGCAGAATCGAAGGCTTCATGAATTGTGCCTAGGCAAAAAGAAGCTGATGATACCTTACTACTGATATTACTGATACAAGCCAGGGTTTTATGTGTTATCACAAACAAACTATTCTATAAACGGTATTGATGGTCCTAACTATAGGGCAAAAGCTGAACTTGGCGGAGCTTGAACTGCATCATGAGGAGTGATGGCGGGGGCCTTCTGGTCCGGGGGTTAAACCCCCTAGCACTTCACGAGGTTTTGCTCTAATCTTCTTCCCGCAGCACCCTTATTCCATTTTAATGATCCTCGGCCGCAGCTAGGACGAAAAAAACTTTCCCCCTCGAGTCCCGTAACCATCAAGGATAACTCCCGACTCAAGGATTTGAGTAATTTCTTTCACACTATGAGGTCTTGGTGTTGATAGAAATGAAGCCATGTTCTTCCTCCACAGTCCTGTTATGTAGCTCGGAAGTTGCAAGCCGTGCACATCCGATTCCTCGAGAAATTGTGCCAATAGCCTCTCAAGATCAAATATTAAGAATTTCTCTTCATCTTGGATCTCTTCTATTTCTTCCGGCTTGATCTTTCTGTACTCGTGTGAGCAAGTATGAGTGATATCCAAGATTTTGAATGTAGTGAACCGAAGTATACCAACACTCAAATGCCTCTTGGAGTGTTCATCAAGCTCCGACTCGGGTTTTGAGTGAAAGAGAACAACGCTCAATAATGTAGCAAAGAGACGAATAAGCTTGGCTACAGTCTCATGGTCAGTTCGTGTAGGCAAAAGTCCGCTCAAAAGCATCGTCAGTGGAGAGCATCCGTTCCGAGAGCAGGCACAGTCACAATAATCTCGAGTCTTGTTGGAAAGAACTGTTCTCAGTAAGGCCTTTGAAGGTTCACTCAGTGAATGAATCTTCGAAGTAGAGCCTTCCTCTTCTTCCATCAAGTATAAAATTGATCCCACGCTATGTCCTATGTCATGCAAGGCCGACCCGGATGGCTTTTGGTGATAGACATCGGCACCTTTACTGATCAACCAGCGAGTCTTTTGCAGGAAGACTTCCAAATCACAGGGTGGTGTGTTTTTCCATATTTTTGTCAGGCACGTCTCGTTGTCATCATCGGTTTCATCCACGCCTCGGAAGCCAACACTCCATAACCGGTCCGCCAAATCAAGATTGACACCGACACAGTCAAAGACTGACCATCTATGGCGCTCCAGGAGGCCTCCCAAATCCACAGAATTTGCTGCAAGTAGTGTGTATACTTCATAAGCATGGATATTCAGTAGGCTATGGGATTCGATGCGTAACTGGTCTTGGACATCTCTCGGTAAGTGTGCCTCTGCGAGAGCCTGTAACCGCCTTCTGCGATAAATGAATTCGCTGACAATGAGATCAACAATAGCTTGGTTGGGATGAAAGCTGGCGACTCTAAGCTCTTCCTCTCCAATAAAGCACCTTTGATCATTCACCAATATCTTGACGCTCTCCTCACAGTTCGCTTCGCATGCCGCTATAAGGGCGCCTTTGGTTGGTGCATGACCAGATTTAAGGATTAGGGCTAAACCATCTCCCCAACGAGTATACGTTTTGATCCATCGATGGAAATTAACCCCTCTTCTCAGCTGTGCTGTTATAAGTTTCCTGGATTTGTACACGAGTGGCTGTAGCTCTTCTGGGAGGTCGATGTCTTGGTTTAAATCAGCGTCACATTCTTTCAGATTGCTCTTTGAGGTGTACTTACCCTGGAGCCCTTTCTCATGGGCAATTCTCCAAATAAGGCGGAAGCTAAAGTCTTCACACAAATTATCATTCCTACGTCCATCAAGTCTGTCTAGATAGTAAGCAGGGTCGATAGTATTCTCTCGATGCCTCCAATCTAGCGCTTCTCGGGTCATATATCCCCCAGCTTTCAGTAAGTCTGAACAGATATCAATCGTTATTTGCTGCCTTTCCAGATCGCTACCTTTATAACCAAAACGATCGACCATGATGTCGGCAGGAGTCTCACCGCAGTCGTTCGCACGGTCCGGAGAAAGGCCCGCTTGTAAGAGGTTTTTGATAAAGGAACGCCAGGTAAGCCGTGAACGTGTATCCCAGTGTGAACTGTAAATTTGCCAGCGAGTGACCTTCTGTAGTTCTGATGAGTAAAAAGACATTCAACTGAGAGACTCAGACGTTCCAGCAGCACCAAAGTATTTCTATGGGTGGAAGTTTAAGACATCCGTAGCGAATTGATACTCACATGTAGAATAGTCTCGCCACTTTGAAGAGCATCCGAAATTGATGCTTTGCCTTCACGAAAGGCCTCAAACAGGGCCTTCTGGGTACTCTGTAACACAGTAGAGACATCTTGTGAGTTGAAAGTCTCCTCTGCACCATAAAGTACGCTAAATATCTCGGAATTTATTGGCACAATGGCACGAAATTCAAGTTTAGGGCTAATTGAGAAGCCCCCTGCTCCAATTGTGCTTGAAAAAGATGTCTCAAGGGAGATTCGCAGAGCCCATCTGCAGAATATTCGGCGATGTAGCAAAGTAATGATGGCTTTGCTTTCTGTGTGCAGCTTACGCTCACTAGGACAAGCTGAAGTGGCGTTGCGCGCTCTCCCAGAGCATGTGGAGCCACATGAGCATGTTGCTCGGCGCCGATTCCGCTGAGAAACTATGATAGTTCCCTGATTATGCGACTCTTCATCCAGGATTCGTTGGTGCTCTAACGCCGATTGGAGTAGGCCTGGTGAGAGAGCTGGCTGAGCTTTATTACGGGAGTTGTCATTTTGCTAAGTTTCCGTAAAATTGGAATTAGCAGCTCAAGGGTGGAACTCTTCGAGACTGGATCAGAGGGGATAGCAATACCATCTGTTTAAGATAATCTTCAAGCATTTCTAGTCTGTGCTCAATACTACTACCGCGCTGATTAGACCTTTGAGCCACGAGTAACATCTGGCTGGTATCGAGGGCGGTTGATGCCGAGTGTGTGAGGACCGTGTCTATTTGCTTCTGAGAGACAGCCAACATAGCCCTTCATGTTTCCAATTAGCGATAATATACTCACTTTCTCCTCTAGCTCAGACTCACATATTCAGTATTTGCAGCGACGTGTTAAGATGAGCTTGCAGCCAGCTCACCATCTCCAATATTCCCATCAGAGTATCGCGTTTGAAAGGATACAATATCCTATTGATCTGAATTCTGGAACTAAAACATATCGTGCTCGTGCTTTTGCACTTATCTAACATCTTGCTTAGTCTGTCTAGTCCATCTTGGCAATTAAAGATGGAGTCGAGGGCGACTGTTGCTGATTGAGCCGTCAGGGGAGAAGAAAAAACTTGCGCATTAGCGAGAACATCCTGTAACGCCTTTAAAATGCTGTCGAAACTTGTTATACGGTTTGAGACGTTCTGAATCTGTTCATCATACGCTTTGAAGGGTCCATAGTAAGCCAGTAGGCCCTGGCAGACTGTGAGGCCAAGCGAGATAACGCCTACTGCGCTCCCAGCCAAAGAAATTGGATCGCCCATGCAGAATAATAATCAGTGGCTTCAAAGGGGAATGTTATCAGATAGACAAAGGTCAAGGATTTGGAGGGCCACCGTATGGTCTATGCTGGCATTTATGGGGTAAAGAGCAGGCGGCTGGAGGTAACCGTCGATAGCCCAACCGCATTCTATTTCAACCCAAGCGGTCAGTGTGACGCTAGAGTGGTAGGGGGCTTCCAAACACAGCCGACCAAAGTTGCGCTTATCCCTGTCCAGAGCCAGAGAGGAGATCGTGAAAGGAGAGCTTATGGCAAATGTTTAGAAAAAAGGCTCTGGAATTAATCGGTTCTGAGGTGGCACGACGGGGTCATGGGTGCATTTTAGATACCCCTCCTTTGTTTCAACGGACATTCAAGGGCAAGCCTGAAGGTAAGACTGAAGGCTGAATGTAAGGGCAGCAATAGCACAAAATACAGACAGACTAAATAAAAAAACATACAACAGGAGGGATTCGCTGGTGGTCACCCACCCAACTACTAACCTCCCGGCGTGTGGCTTAAGTACGGCTGAGCGGACGGGAAGCCCTGTTCTCCACACCCTATGGTCGTATGTATTGGCTTATTCGAAGTACTGGAATATATAGAAGAGGTAAATACCAAGGATTGGTAAAATATCCATGTCGAAAAAGGTTAGCTTTGTAAATATACTCCGTGCACGCCGACGGAAGTAGGGTATCCGGATGCTCGAAAGCGCGAACCACCTATGGCACAAGTTGTTGATCTACGGATTGTTTTGGTGTCGTTCCCAGCCATATGGAATCCGTTGTCTTTCTGCGGACAAGATGCAGGCATGTAGAGGTAACCGTCGCAACGTCCCGCGAATGCTACGTGTCCCGCAGGACCCCCGCAGGACAAGCATGCAAGTGTGATAATATTCTCGACAAGGTTGCAGGAAAGGCTCGACCGTGTCGGGCCGAGTTTATTGTTACTAGTAGCATTATAAAAACACGCGTAACAGCTCCTCGCAGTGTGTTCTTTCGGTCTCGTGCGGTCGCAACCTCTCATCATAACAGCATCCTCAACCTAGGCCATGGAGACTGAGGATTGGGAAACCACAAATGTAGTCATTTGTGGCTGTGGCCCAACCGGGGCTATGCTCTCGGCTTATTTGGGCCAGATGTCGGTTCCTAATGTGGTGCTAGAGCGAGAAGCTGATATCACCACCGATCCTCGTGGAATCGCCTTGGATGAGGACGGCATTCGCTTTCTCCAAGGGGTCGGTATATATGATTCGATCTTTAGTGAGATCGGCAGTTGTCAGTACCATCGTTGTTTTTTTCTTCTCCTTTTCAATTGGATCCCACATTGTTGACTTGTGATATTAGGTATGGGTATGTTCAACTTTATCGGCGGAACAGAGCCAGTCTTGAAGAAAAGCCCGTTTCTCGCTTTGAATTATAGCACGGTGAGTCTAGTGTACTAGTGTTAATAGTGCTGGTGTTGATTGTATTAGACGGCCGGGGGAACAGGTCACATAGGCTTTATCTCTCACAAACAACCTATACTCGAAAATAATTTGCGAAAGGCCATGTCACATAGCACATTTTGCGTTTTGAGGTCGGAATCCACAGTGTATGAATTGTGCGAAGATGAGCAGTGGATCTACTGCAAGTATCAAGATGCACAAGGAACTGAACAGAGAATTCGCGCGCGATTTTTCGTTGGCGCGGATGGCAAGACGGGGTTTACACGGAAACAGTATCTGGAGCCAAAAGGGGTACATATGGAGAAAGTTACCGAGTATGTGCCATATGCTATCGCCGTTAAGTGCTTCACTGACTCTGCGAGTAGGGAATTTTACGAGGAGACTTGGGTAGCACTGAACTGGAAAATCGCATTGCCCACACCGGAGTCACACCCAGCGTTTCCCTTGTGGACGTTGGGATATACTCCGGAACAAGTGTATGACCTCTTCTTTCCCTATGAGTTCCGTTTTCTTTGCAATCCGAATCGCCCCGCCGTATGCGGACGATTCGGTCTTCAATCAGACCGGCTGTGGAGATTCGAATTTGTTGTTCACCCAGGGGAGGACGGCTACGAGATGGCGAAACCGGAATCGATAAAGAAGATTGTCTTCCCTTATGTGACACATCGGGGAAGTCAATATAAGTAAGTCAGTCCAGACCCCATACCCCACCTCTTACTTATATCGTAGTCTTCCGCATGATGTACAATTCCCTGAAGACTGTATACATGTTATCCGATCCCGCCCGTTTACCTTTTCCGCACGCAGCTGCAATGCCTGGGCGAAGGACCGTGTTATCCTTTGTGGTGATGCTGCGCACGTATTTCCTCCTTGTAAGTTCCCTGCCGGTCGATATCATGTCGAAGCTAACCTTTTCAGTCGGAGGACAAGGGATTGCGTCGGGATTTCGCGATGCTGCTTCCCTAGCATGGCGACTCGCTCTACTATGTCATCATCATCCAACCACCCCCAAATTCCACGAACAAGTCCTGGATGCGTGGTATCAGGAGCGAAAGCAACAACTTGAGAAGTCTCTAGCTACGACAATCGAGAATGGGAAGTTTGTGTGCGAAGCCAACTCCAGCAAAATCTTCATACGGGACTGGTATCTTTGGCTGGCCCAACTATTTCCCAGCTGGAAACGCCATCTCCAATTGGGGCGACGAAAGGACGGGTTGATCCGATATGTACACTCTGAAGGGATGCCTTTCCTGCCGGAGCTCAACGGTGGCCTGAACCTGCCTCAAGTCTTCTGCAAGGATATGACTGGAAAGGTGCTTTTCACCGACGATGTCATCTTCCGCTCTAAGCAGAAGAGTATCTTCCGGCTATTCGTTTATCTACGCAATGATGAGGAGCTAGCGCGCACTCGGACGGTTCTGGGGGAAGTAGAGGAGCTTTCACGAAGAGAATTCGCTGCTGACCAAGTTCCCTTTGTCATTGAGGATATCACAAAGCGTGAAGTTGGTGATCAAAAAAATCTGTTTCAGATCGCGAGCGCTGAAGAGTTTGCCCGGTCACCGCTGTGTAGGGGCCGCCCCGAGCCTACCTATTATGAACCATTCCTCATTCGCACGGAAGTTCGTGCGAAATACATCATCGTGCGTCCAGATCGGGTTGTCTTTGCGGCATGTGTAGATGAGCAGAGTTTGAAGACGGCTATTGGTTGTATGAAGGATATATTGCGTTGCTAGTTCTTATCGATGGACTGCGTAGGTGTGATTACGACTTCTTTCACATTAAAACTCAGATACTATGGAGCCAAGCATGACTTATGCTCAACTGTATAACACCTTGCGGTAGTGTCCTCCCATAACTCTGTGGTTCGGCATTCGAGCGTATGTGTTGGATTACGAGCCTTGGTGATGGTTTCTTGTCTCTTCCAATCGTATCAAACTAGGAATGTAAGACATCATGACTAACTTGGAGTATCATCCTATCTTGGGCTTATTCAGGAGTCACGAAACCGTATGAGCCTGTAAAACCGAGGTCTGTCTAGACAAAATAGTGAAACATGGTACCAACATGGCAGCTACCCAACAACACAGATTGGCCCCATCCTCATTCACCTCGTGTTCGTGTCACCCTGATGTCTAACCGATCGGATACCTGCAGATCCCGAGTGTATCATAGAACTCCTGTTTAGCATTGGGCAAGGTGCTCTCCTTGGGACGGTGCTCAGGCTGTGGTTCTCAGCCTGAATACGACGTGTCTCAGCCGCGCATATAGAGAAGATCTCGTAATTTATGCAACATCAAACAAAGATTCACTGGCAGAGGTTCCCAAAGATGAGCACACGCCTGAGCCTTGGAAATAGTCTCTGTTTCAGAACAACCCTGTAATGTGGCAATTCCCCTGATAATAATGTCTCTAGATCGATCGGAAGTTCTCAGCGCTAGCCTCGTATCACCGGAATATTCCACGTAGCCTCATCAGCTCAACTCGCTTGGACCAACTATTAAATCCAAAAAAAGGTCTTGGTGTAGCCACCGTCTATCCCGAAACATCCGTAGTCTGCGAGGTCCTGAGACGGGAATGACACTTGAACGGATTATTGTGTGGGTGGTTCTTTCCCCCTTTCTCCTTTTAAAGTCTGTAACAGAAGCTATTGGTGGCTTTTCGGTCCCTGATGCATGTGTGGTCTTGAGTAGGTGCTTAGGTCCCCAGGAACCTAAGCACAGTGCCAGGCTGCTGTCCGAAGTCTTCGTATATAGTTTCTAGAATGAAATTTGTAAGACAGTGTCATCTTAAAAATGTTAGGATTAAAAATACTCTCCACGAAAATAGGACCAACCATCTTGTCGCAGGTACTGAATATCTTGAGAACCACAGAAAGTATATTTGTTTCTTGGTGTTACTGTTTATGATAATATACTTCACTTTGACAAGACTATGGAGAACCCCGAAGGAGAGATGAGCGACCCTGGTCTTTATACCGCCGCAAGCACTCATGGCTTTATGGATAGCATCAAGTATGAAACACACTTTATGTTCAATCAAGATGAAGCTTGGGCGAACTCGGGACAGATCGAGGGCAATACCGAGTGTTGGCAAACTGCACCTAGTACTGAACCTAAACAAAGTGAGGCACAGATTTCGACTGTTCATACAGAGGCCGGGGACAGCTTTTCTTCATCAACCGCTCCACATTCTGGTTACACGCATAACGTGGCACAGTGCAATCTGGACACTACTGTACCTTCTGATATGCAAGGCTCTGCCTTACTGGGGTGAGTATTCATAATATCCCGTAAATAGTTGCAGCGTGTATGTTCACACGGACAACAGATATCCCACGCTGCCAGAATATCCTACTACCCGTTCGGCCGAAGACATTGTCCACCATGTTAACAATGATGCTAGCCAGATTCCGTTTGGCTTGACACAGTCTCCATACGACCTTCCCATCAATATGCTCACAAGACAATCCCCAATATCGATTGGAAGTTTCCAGCCGCCAAGCCCTCGGGAATATCTCGACTTTCGACCAATGCTATACCGATCGGATAAATTGCTAGAAACGTATGAGAAAGTGTCATGTGCGTTGTTTACGCTGCACCGCAAGAGGATCATTCTCGGGGAATCTACTGCATGCGTATACACAATAGACGGCCTTTTTCAATGTGTTTCTACGTTGTGTGACCTTTTGGAAACAACCGTCCCTGTTGCTAATGCTCTAATCGATAGAGCTGGCTACATCACAAAGAACGGGATCTTCAAGCTAGGGCTTATGGGGGTATCTATTGTCTTGGAAATATACGAAAAGCTGCTGCGCAACTACCAAAGGATCAGCTGTCCAGAGGATTTCAGTACTCAAAGGACATCTCATGATGTAGTTCAACTCACCATCGCGTCCGACACTATGGAACTCGCAAACATTATTTTGCGATGCACATTTATGGACATCCACTTGAGACGGTTGCAAACCATCCTTGAAGCTGCCAGCCTAGAATTGAACCTTGACCTGACTTTATCTGCTCAGGTAGATGAGACAAAGAGCATGTTGGGTACATTTCTATATTCACTGCAAAAGTATGTTACACATCCGTGACAGCAATAGTGGAGCCTCTTGGCTCCAAGGTGCTGATGGGTGTCTCCCCAAAAGCGTTGTCCATCTACCGCCTTTTTGTATCCTATATGGTTTCCTCATATGCTTCCGCGCTTCTTTTGTATCATCTTTATATTCCTGTTTGCTCATATTTGCGTCTCTTCCACCTACTCTTCTTCGCTCTCCTATATCTCAATCAACTGGCTTCACGTCGTACACAGGTATCACTCAACGACAGAGCAAGACTGGGCTACCTGAATTTCCGAACAGATAAAAACATGCACACAGCTATGCTCTAGAGGATTCAAAGCCTTAGAAAATATATAAATAATTCTGACCCCTTCGGAACTAATTTCTCCGCCCCACCCTGACCCCTTCGACATCTCACAGTTTCCTTAGTTTCTTGTACTTATCAATTAAGTCATCATGGCAGAAAACCTCAGTGTTATTCCTATCCTTGACTACTCACTGTCAACCTCCTCAGGGGCAAGACCTCGGTTCCTAAGGGGCCTTCAAGATGCCCTTATCAAAGTTGGCTTCTTTTACCTTCAAAATCACCAAATCCCAGCCACAGTACAGCAGGACTTAATTACTCAATCACAAAAGCTCTTGATCTCTCACCGGAGAAGAAAAAATGAAATTGATATGAGTAATAGCAAACATTTCGTTGGATATGTGGGCTTAGATCAGTCAACCACCTCGAATAAACAGGATCATCGGGAAACATACACAATCTGTTAATCATAAGATACATTAACTGTCCCATTTACCTTGTCAAGGAAGTTAGGTGTTATTCTACTGTAGCTTGGGTTTGAACAGCCTGCGCCAAGGCCCAATGAGCCAGTGTGTCGCAATCTACAGGGGCCTGATCTGGTAACTCTCATTGCTCTTAATCAATCCATGTTACAGCATTAACTAATACCCAAGCTGGAACTTAGTGGCCTGATGGGATGATACTACCTAGATTTAAGCCCGTCATAGAAACATACATTGCTGAGGTTAAGAAGCTAGCAGATCGATTGAAGGTCCTTATTGCCGAGGCACTGGATACCAATCTCCCAGAACTGATGAGTTTATTTGATGAGGAGCCCTTCGGCCGCTTGACTTTGGTTAAATACTCTAAGCCGGAGGGGAATGGGTCCCTGTTCCTCCTATGTCTGGAGCGATGATAATCAATGTCGGTGTGCAATTAGAAGCATTAACTGATGGGGTGTGCAATGCAGCTATACATAGAGTACTCGTCCGACAGCAAGATTTCATCGATCATGATGGTAATGATATCGGGCCGAGATCTTCATTTCCGCTATTCCTTACAATCAGCCTTAATAAGGCATGTAGGGAGCCTTTGAACCTTCCCCAACATATTTTAGCCATGGTTAAGGATGGCGACGCTAGACAGACCGCGCGATTCAATTTACAGCGATTATTTCAAGGGGGCTGTGCTGGCAACCGTGTCTTCAACGAACGTTTGAGGGTCTATCGAAAAGCTGCACAAAAATGGTGGCCAGATCATCTCACTGAGGCACTAAAGCCGCAATTAAACAAGCCGGTATATAAGACTCGGTGATCTCTTTTTTTTTCTTGACGATGAAGAGGTTAGAATGATACGAGGGGCAGCTTCTCTTATTGATGTTGAAGGTATCGATGAGGAGATCACCTTTCATGAACCTAATCCTCTGTATATAACTGCAAGGAGTGCATCTTTGAGACTTAGTTGGACCAGTGGAAGCTGGTAATACATAGGGATAATGTTTGGAACCAGAAGTTTGGCATTATTTATTATAATATTGGAGGTATGTAGAGGGGTACGGGGAACCCGCTAACGCTGCCCCGAACGCGGCGATATACCACTCTCCCATTATTCTCTCTAACTGCCTAGCCGCATGAAGATAACCATAATTACGATCACAGAAACAACAAAACAAAAACATACAACAGGAGGGATTCGCTGGTGGTCACCCACCCAACTACTAACCTCCCGGCGTGTGGCTTAAACGCGGCCAGAAGTCGGGTGGCTGCCGCCCGGGTGAGCTAGCGGGTGAGCCGCTTTACGGTCGCGCGACCTTGGGTGAGCTTGGGTGAGTGCATAATAGATGGGTTGAGCCGCTCACCCTCTCGCTCACCCCATCACCCAGTTAAAAACTTTAATACCCACTAACTACTATATAAGCATGGACATTGGCTATTTAATTAGAGCGTCAAACGCCGGAGCTCTTGGCAGATATCATAGCCAATGAAGAACTTGCAATATATTGCTGCCTGTCCAGGCAGCATTAGCATGAGTTACGGTGGTCAGGATTTGCAAAGTCCATTATAAATTATAATAAACAATGCAAACACAGTCCGTCTCACCATAGCCGTCTCTTAGGTCAGCAGACCCACCCGCCATTCGGCGTGTTGGTCTGCCTCACCCAAACGATAAATCACACCTAAACAATAAATTTGAAGCTTTTCAAGCTCCTATACAATATCGTCTTGAGTATCTATCCAATAAGATAGTCTAGGGTCTTCCTTATCCACCTGACTAGCTTCTGTACTAGGTAGATTCTCTATATCTGCCTGCTGTGGTGGTTTATTATATTCTAAAGTTTCTGTTTTCCCAATTTGTCTAAGATATTGTAGATTTTCTACCTCAGTACAATCCGC